TTGTTGTAGTTGTTGTTGTTGTAGCAGTAGCAGTCGTTAGTAGTTAGTAGCAGTAGTAGTAGTAGTAGTAGTAGTAGTAGTAGTAGTCATAGTAGTAGCGATCCTGATGCAGAAGATGCTGTAAACTTAGTGTAAACAGAGCATAAGACGGAAGCCACGCAAGCAAAGATGATTATGCAGACAAAAAACCATCAGGGGAGAACACAAGCGACCGGAACACCAACGACCAGGTAATCCTGCTTCCACAACACCATGCCACAGCCAAGCCCGAAGCAGGTGTCATTGCCATTCTCGAAGATCTGCGCTATCCTGAGTAACAGAACATGTGAACATCAAGGACGAGAACAAGACACCCATCCCCCTTGAGCAAAAAGCTGGCTGAGCCCGACACTGAAAAGCAACTGATGCCTGCGCCTCGACACGTAGCAGTGAGTGTTAAGCGCCCCGGACAAGACATCCTGTGCAGAACCCCTGAGACACGAGTCCAGAATTCCTGAATGTTTGAACAAAGTGGGCAATGTGCTTTGCAGATCCAAACTCTGGCCTGCTGGACGTCATCGGTGCCCGCAGCACGTGTGCCAACGACCTCGACAAGAACGAATTCAGACGCTATAACGAGGGCTGGTAGAATCTGGTAGAAAACAGGGTACGACGTCCCAAAGTGCAGCATGGTGGCACAGTGGCTTTATCTTGGTAACAAACCTCTGAAGTCAAGTGTACATGCATGTTCACTGAAACAAGAACTGAAAAGGCAGCTGCGCTGCCCACCAAGGATAAGTTATGACGCTCTATCTACCCTTCCGAGGACCCAACCGCCAGCGAAACAACCTGGGCCGCCAGCCACAGCGAAAGACGCTAATTTCATGCGTGAGAGTTGCATCACACGATAGCGAGCGTTCCCACGTTGTCTGTGAAACGACTGACACGTCCGTGGACGACGTGACGACGGACAAAACGTTTTCAAATCGTCTGAATTCTAGTCATGGCCAGGACATGTAGATCTGATCGGCAGCATACACGATGTCCAGCCAATACAAGCAAGAACTCGACCAAGCTTTTCAACCGACATTGGATTGAATCGTGGCTCCAAAAATTTCGCGGTGACATTGCTCTGACAGCAGCTGTAAACCTTGACAAATCCGGCGATGGAACACGCGACGGTGAATATGAACGAATTGTGCCGCAATGGTCTGAATGCCTTTGGCCCACGCGATCGCCAGAGTTTCCATCACCGCATGGCTGCTCAAGGGGCTCTGTGGCTTATGCTTGTAATTCGACGTACACTTCTAAAGGCTGTCTCTGCTCGAACCTCTGTATGTTGATCAGGATGGGGCTCAACAAGTCAGATGTGAATTGCAAAAAGCGTGCTCTGGCCAATCTGCAAAACATTCGTCAACTTGGTGGGCAAAATCAACCGAGCCTGATCATGCTGTCCAACTGAAACAAAGCGGTTCGTTCAACAAAAAACGAAGGTACCATCACAAGCACAAAACAGATTCAACCCGGCTTCGGAGTAGCTTAACTCGAGTAGCTGGATTAACTCGAACTAGCCTGGTTACCCAGCCCCACTTGACCCACGCCAAAGCGAACCCCAAGTTAAGTATCTGAAACCTGGACCTTGCAAGCTGTAAGATGCGCGCGCGCGATTTATCGGGATGTCTTTGCTTTCGCGTCGAAACCAAAAGAAATCCAATCAGCTTCGATTGTTTTTTTTGGGTGTAAAATGGACCACCACCAGATCTGGGCGAGTGCAGTTCAGGACTGGCAGCAGGCGTGGTGACCACGGTGACCGCGTAGTGACTCCGTGATGACCGCGTGGTGACCAGCAGTGTTGCTTCATTACTGCATTATTGAGCCAATGCTGAGCCAAAATAAAACATTGTTGAAACGTCAATAAAATCACAGGGAGTCGCAGCTCTTGCGATGAGGACTTTTCGGTTTTTTGAATGCAGAAGCTTCTGGCATCAGCTTCACCCTGCACCAAGGTCGAAAACCACTTCTGCTGGGTTTGGGTATGCCCATGAGCGACATTGGCACCAACTCTTCGGCGATTATGCAACTTCTCACCGCTCGGAATCCCCCCACAAGGCAGATTCCCAGTAAAATCGAAGATGATTACTAGAACTGCCACCGTGAAGGTGGTGCACTTGGGACCTTGGCAGGCGGGTGGAGCAGAATGCGCAAGTCTGTTAATCAACTCCAACGAGTTTGAGGTGACTGCTTTCAAGACCGGCGAGTGTGATTGGTGCAAGCTGAAAGGACTGAGCCTATATTGCAGGCGGTGAGGGAGGATGTCCGCAGTGAGAGCAGTAGAGCGATTGCCAAGCATGTGGACTGCGCTGGCTGATGGCCTTGATTGGGTCATAGGCAGGCGTTTTCAGGCAGAGCTCAAACCAAAGGCGACACCCGAAAGCAGACAGGACTTGCACTATTGTGGTAAGAAATGCAGAACCGCAGATGACCTTCCAATAAATGGTCTTTCCTCAAACAAGAATTACCAAACAAAAGAAAAAGATGCTCTGCAAGAGTTTTTATGATGTCATGGAAGGTTCTGTGACGGAAAGAAAATGAAATGAAAAAAAAAAAAAAATTAAAATCGCCATGTGACCGATGTCTCGAAGCCATTTTGGCTTGGACGTCTCTGGAGATTGCGCTTTGGCCAATCCTGGCCCAAGTTTGAGGAGCAGTAAGTGACGACAGTTTTCGCAGAGCTGGCTTCGCAGCAGTTCTCGATTTGAGTCCGAGTCACTGTTGGACAGTAGCTCAAGCCTTAGGACCAGTTGTAAATGCGTTCGACCGACCACAGGGCGTCTTTTGGGGACGGATTTGTACAAGTAGTTTGTAGGTAAGTTGAGGATTTGATTTGTTAGAGTGTTTTTGAAATTTGGTTAGAAGGTGATTTCTTAGAGCATCTTGCAGCTGATCCGATTTGATCTGTTGAGCAGCTACGTGTTTCAGGGTTTAGGATTTAGAATTCAGGTTTAGGGGCTTGGGCTTAGGTTTTAGAATGAAGGCTTAGGGTCTGGTTTTCGAGTGAAGGTTTAGGGTTTAGGGTTTAGCTTATAATAAAGGTTTAGGGGTGTAAGTTTCATAATAAAGATTTGGGGTTTTGGGTTTAGGGGGTGTAAGGTTTAAGTTGTGGAAGGAAGTTTTAAGGTTGACGTTGTAGGGTTTAGAATTAAGGTTTAGGGTGTCGGTTTCAAATTTTGGGGTTAAACCCTTTGTTCTAAAACCTAAAACCCGAAGGTGGAAAGCCAAGTTCAGGCCAGGCAAACGCTCACCTGCGCAGGCAAGCGTTTCGCAGATGCGGAGCTGCGGCCACTTACCTTTGCAGACAAGAGCCTCCAACAGCAAACCCGCGCGTTGTTCGCAAACGAAGAACCCAGAGCTGCGCCACAGTGGTAGACACGGCAGAACCCGCGTAATAGCCATTCGCCAAGCCCTAAGCTCGTCGCCGCAACGCACCCAGCTGAGAGCACGATCAGCGAAGTCCACAATCCGCTGCCCGAAAGGTGCGGGCTGAGAACCAGATTGGAATGTTGAACAATGCGACTATGAGGCACGGCCGACCCAGGGCGATTGGAGCATCGGCTTCTGGCTGAGGTGCTGGAGTGCCAGATGCATTTTGCCAGATGTTCTGGAACGGCTGCTCGAGTGTAGGATCTGTGTGCATCACCTCCGGGCTTCTGAAGTCAGCAACTTGTGCTGGGCCGGCGCTGCACCCCAGTCATTGACGCAAGCTTGTGGCGCTTGTGGGAGCTTTCTTGGGAACAGCCGACGAGGCCACCAGTGGTTCAAGCTCCATGCACGCATCATTAGCAGGCAGTACTTTTGATCCCTACAGCGCGATGGTGCGAAAGCAAGGCGCCCTAGAGGTTAAAACGGATCAGTTCCCGCTTCCACGTCAGCAAGCAGACAAAGCTGCAGATACAAGTGAACAAGACGCCAAATGTGATCATGTGCGGGAAGTGTGATATGCCGTTGCCCGTCCTCATCAGCAAAAAAACCCCAAATCGACTCTGACATGTTTACGCATCCTCCTTTCTGTCGGGGTCCTCTCCATTTTTTTCCTTGTTCGGAAGGCTGTAGGGCTTGGCTACATACCGTCTATGCAAATGCCGCAGGTCTGCTTGCCAATGCTCTCAACCGAGTGGGTGCTCGTGCTTCCTCAGCACGCTTGGACTTCAAGGCGGCTTGGATCAGGGTCCATTTTTCAAGACATTTTATTGTCCTCCGCGTTTCTTCCGGCTTGGAAACGGTATGCTATGAATGGTTGATGGACCTTTATCAAGACCTTCAACATCGTCGTCTTCTGATGCCCAAAAATCGGCGACCGTGGGCATTGGATCAATGGCCTGCCAGCGCGGGCGGACTCAATACCTTCCAGTGATCTGCGGTCGCGGTAGAACGTCGCGCCCCCCTTTTACTGGTGCTGACAAATGCGCCAGCACTTACTGAAGGTTGGCTGCCGGATTTGGACCCTCGTGTACTCCACAGCTTTACTGGATGCTTGCGCATTTGCCCCAGTCAGCTTCTTACTTACTGTGGGTTGGCTTCGCGTGTGAACTTTGGTGTGCGCAGTTGCGAAGGAACAGGTGGAAGCGGGCTGACCGTTGTCCGACGGGACTAGAACGGCGGCCGGAGTGTTGGTTTGGGCTCCACCCTTTGCCTGAGTAAGTTGGAGCGCCGGCTGAGTCAGACCGTACTTCGTAGTTACGGCTGAACTGATCTTGGCTGACGAAGTCCGCCTGCCGCAGTCAATTCTTTATTCGTACATCTGACGCCGCCTCTACGTTTCACTTTTTCATTTGTTTAGGTAGTTACTTTGGTGCTTGTTTGTTTAGGGTTTAGCGCTGCGGATGCAGTCAACGAGGCCCGACCACGCCAAAAACTGTCTTTCAGCAATTGCTGCTTGTCCAAGCGAGCCTGTGAGCGGATGGCCTTACTTTGCTCTTCTTCTGCGTTCTGTGTGTGTGTGTCGCGTTTCCGTGCGCGTCTCAATGAGCTCCCAAGTGTCCTGTGAAATTCAAGGATGTTCGGGGCTCCGGTCTTCAGCCGGAATGCATTGATCCACGGCAGAATGAGCAGTGTTGACACACGCCGACCTGCGCAGACTTGAGGCCTTCCACTCACAGTCACTCCGGAAACTTCAGTGAATCAAAGCCACATTCTACGATTCTACACCTAAGTTCTCACCGACAACCCCAACGCCCAAACCATCCGCAACGAGGGTGTCAGAGCACTTGCTGACCAGCCCCCCCTCACACACCACATTCATAGGGCACAGTTCAAGTTGTTTGGTCATGTTTTGAAAGCAACTCCGAGCAACCTGGAAAGTTCACTGGAAAGGAACGGTATTTTTACGAAGGTTTTTATATATAGGTGAGGTATTGTAAAGTCAGGAATAGGCCGGGCCGAACAAAACTTCACTGGGTTGAGCAGTGCGCTGAACTAGCGTGGCGCTGGCTCAGCCAAACCCCACAGGCCCCTACCTACTTATTACTTCTGCCCCCACTTTTCCCCACGCCTTCTTGCAACTTCACAGGCTGGCAGTAAACCGTCCAGTCTGGAACAAGCTAGTGGGGTTGCCAATGTGCAACAAGCTCCTCAGGTCCTCAGCCGTTTTGTCCTACTCACCGTGAGTGTGGAGACATGCGAGAGCTTTGCATAGGGCCGCCCAAAAAGTAATTAAGTAGGACATTACTCACGTCATGAATATTTCCGTAGGACAGCATAAATTTGTATCAACTTAAGTAGGACAATGCTAATTTGAATGAGTTGATACAAGCCGAAGTATCCCCGCGGAACAACCCACATACTGTCTGCCTGCTGGCATGCTTGTGTCCCATGGACATTTTGTCCAACGGTGGGCATCTGGACAGACCCCTCTTAGCGGGACGGAGCATGTGATGGTGAAACTTTTGCACCACGTTTCACTTGTTGAAGCTTCTTGTGCAGACACCGGGTTGACCTCGAAGGTTTTGGGTTTGTGGACCTGAGCTGAATGAATCCGAGGTTGAAAGGCCCACGGTGGACGATACAACCAATGGAGGGCGTATTTTTTCGGTCCTTTTTTTTTGGGTCCTTTTTTTTTTTCGCTGGGGTCCCTTTGAAGGCAATGAGGGAAGGAAGGAAGAAAGGAACGAGGGAAGGAAGGAAGGAAGGAAGGAACGAAGGAAGGAAGGAAGC